AGAGATCGTTCTTGGAAACAAAATCGAATGATACATGGATGAATAAGCAGGGGTTCAGTACAAAATACTGAAGAACTGTCAATAGTAACTCTTCATGAATAGATATGTTATACTTATTTCAAACTAATCAATGCCACGCTGTTTCAATTAAGACTTCCAATTAGGAACTGATGATAAGTGTATATGCACAACAGAGTTATACATCAGGAATTGATCATGAATATACCTGCAGAACGCATTTCAAACTCATAAATGCCACTGTAGTACAATGAGAAACTCTGATCAGGAACTGATTATGAATGTATCTGCAGAACACAGTTCATACTCATAGAGTTAATATGGAATTTCTATGAGGAACTGATTATGAAAGTATCTGCAATAAACATTTCAAACTCATAAATGCCACTGCATTCCGATAACTGATTATAAATCCATCTGCAAATCAGAGTTCATATGGAATTGCTATGATGAACCCATTATGAATGCATGTATCTACAATACACATTTTGAACTCATAAATACCACGGTATTTTAGTGATAAATTCCGATTAGTGACTGATTATGAAATGTATCTGCAAAACAGAATTCATACTCGTAGATCTCATATGACTGTGCTATAATAAGCTATCTATGAATGTATCTGCAATACACACTTTGAACTCATAAATACCAAGGTATTTGAAAAAAATCCCGATTAGGGACTAATTATAATTAATGTATCTGCAAAACAGCGTTTATTGTCATACACTTCGAAAGAAATTGCTATTAGGAACTGATTATAAATGTATCTGTGAAACACAGATTATACTCATAGAGTACGTGAAAAACTGCCAATAGGAACTCATTATGATTGTTCCTGTGAAACACATTTCAAACTGATAAATGCCACGGTAATTCAATGAGGAATTCCAATTAGGAACTGATGATAAGTGTATCTGCAAAACAGAGTTATACTCTAAGTGTTCCTGAGGAATTGCTATTAGGTATTGATTATGAATGTACCAGCAGGATACATTTCAAACTCATAAATGCCACTGTGCTCCAATAAGGAATTCCGATTAGGAATTGATTATGGATGTTTCTGCAAGACAGAGTTTATACTAATAGAGTTCATACGGAATTGATATAAGAAACTCATTCTGAATGTATCTGCAACACACATTTCAAACTCATAAATGCCACGGTATTTCAATAAGAAATTATAATAAGGAACTGATTGTGAATGTATCTGCAAAACAGTTTATACTCAAAAATTCCCATTATAAATGTATCTGCAATATACATTTTCAACTCATGAATGCCACGGTATTTCAATGAGAAATTCCAATCAGGAACTGATTATACATGTATCAGCAGAACAGAGTGCATACTCAAAGACTTCGAAAAGAATTGCTATCAAGAACTGATTATAAATGTATCTGTGAAACACAGCTGATACTCATTGAGTACATAAAGAACTGTCAATAGAAACCCATCATGAATGTACCTGTCAAACACATTTCGAACTGATAAATGCTACGGTGTTCCAATGGGGAATTCCAATTAGGAACTGATGATGATTGCTATAAGGGACTCATTATGAATGTATCTGCAATACACATTTCAAACTCATAAATGCCACGTTAATTCAATAAGAAATTGCAATTAGGGACTGATTCCAAATGTATCTGCAAAACAGAGTTCATACTCATAGAGTTGCTATTAGAAACTCATCATGAATGTATATGCAGAACACATTCCATTCTCATGAATGCCACAGTGTTTCAATGAGGAATTGCCATCAAAATCTGATTATAAATGTATCTGTAAAACATAGTTCATACTCAAAGACTTCGTTGGAAATTGCTATTAGGAACCGGTCATGAATGTACATGCAGAACACATTTCAAAATCATGAATTACGATGTTTTAATAAGGAATTGCCATTTAGAACCGATTATGAATGTATCTGTGAATTACAGTTCAAACTCATCGACTCCATTGAGGATTGCCATTAGGAACTGATTATAAATGTAACTGCAGAATACATTTCGAGCTTATAAATTACTGTTTCACTATCCAACTTGACTCTGATATATTCTCATATGTAAATAACCAGGAATTACTAGTAGGAACTGATTATGAATATATCTGCGAAAAACAGTTCATACTTTTAAGAAGAAGGGAGAGAATCGCCATTAGAAACTGATTATATATGGATCTGCAAAATACATAGGATTATACGGAATTACTGTTTCACTATCCAACTTCATTCTCATTAATTCTCATATATATTTTTTTATAAGTTTCTATGAGACATTTTTGGCAGGGATGTACCTATGTTAAAAAGTGTGCAGTATGTGCAGCTAGCAAGTCAAGTAATTTACCTAGAGCAGGACACATGGGTGGTTATAAGAATATTAATTTTCCATTTCAATGGATATCGGCGGATCTTATCGGCCCTTACCCAAGGTCGAAAAATGGTAACGTTTATGCATTAGTAGTTGTAGACTGGTTTACAAAGTATTGTCTTGTACATCCAATGGCTAAGGCTATAGCCAAAAATATTGTCAAATTCATTGAGAATGAAGTTTTTCTTATTTATGGAGTACCACAGATTGTTTCCTGTGATAATGGATCTCAGTTTATTAGTAAAGAATTTAAAAAATTGATGAACGAATATAAAGTGCAGAATATTTTCTATAATGCAAACTATCATCCACAAATTAACCACACAGAAAGGACAAATAAAGTAATTGTAACGGCTATTAGATCATATGTTCATGAAAATCACAAAGACTGGGATGTTAGTATTCACAAAGTGGCCCAGGCCATAAGATTGGCGAAACATGATATCACCGGATATAGTCCTTCATTTTTAAATTTTGCGAGAAATGTTCCAGTAAGTGGAGATTTCTATGGAAAAATCGAGGATAATGCTGATAACATTGTAAGTGTGGGTGAGAAGTTACAATTAGTAGACGATATTCAAACCTTACCTTCTTTGTATCAAGATGTTCGGAATAAACTGAGAACAGCTCATTCGAAATATGAAAAACAATATAACTTAAGGAAAAGGGATGTAGTATATCATGTAGGAGATAAACTTTGGAAAAGAAATTATGTTCAATCCAGTAAAGCAGATAATTTTGCAGCTAAGTTGGCTCCAAAGTACATTCCATGTGTGGTGCATAAAGTTATGTCTAAATTAGTTTACAATTTACGTGATCTTGAGGGTAATGACTTGGGTAATTGGCACGTTAAGGATATTAAGGGTAGTTTTTTCGAGAATGATGAAAACTTACCTGAATCTGAGGATTCTGAGTAATGTATCGGTTATTTTTTGTTTCTCTCAATGATAGTGTCTATCAATTTAATTATGTGTGTCTTGTCGTATCTATTGATGATGATGATCAACGGTGAGTTTAGTTCAATCGCATATGAGTGTTTTGGTTCTGATCTGGACTGTTGTGATACCTGGTTCATTTGATTAGTCTCAGATAGTGAGAACGGTGTTGACTGAAATCACCAAAATATATATCGGGTATGTAGGTACCGTAGTTTATCTAAAGTTAGTTAAACTAGTGTTATCGTTATCTTGAGGGTTATCTTATTTATCTCACGAAGGTTTTGGGTAACCAGACATATCGTAAGTTATCGTATATCTGCTGGTATAGCATTATCGTATTGGAAGAGTAATTTTCTCTTCATCGTATCGCAAGAGCAATAAATTGTCTCTTAGTATCTTTTGGTTGAGTATTATTAACCATATGGGAAGTCGTGGGTGATTTCTTGAATATGAAGTTCAATGATTTGTTCAATTTGGCTCTCGGTAGAGTTTTGGAATGAATTTTGAACTTAAAGGTTTGGGATTTCGGTTGGACATGTGGTATATTTGCACGGGGAAGCACAGACAGAGAAAGGAACTCGAGTGGTGTCCAGATATGAACTCAAAGTTGATGATCATCAGAATAAATGTTAATGTGATTTTTTTGTTGTTTTCTCGTGAAATTATATTTTCACATAGTGTGGTCTTTTGGTAAGGATAAATGTAGGAGTGTTCAGAATGCGGTATAGTATCAGGCAGTAACTGATAACAACTTATTAAGTTATAATGCTGGACGTTTGCTGTGTTGAGCCGGCGTTAGAATAGCTCAACAGGAGAACCTTCCTTGCGGTAAGAATCCGACTAAAATGGCCCTCTTCTTGGAGTTAGTATTTTTTTTTATTATAAATATATAATTGGTATGGAATTACTCTCGGATTTTCACAATTTCTTGTTATTCCTAATGCAAGTCCAATTGTGTTCTTTTCTCTTCATCTTCACTAGATACCATTACTTCAAAATAACTTGTGGTGAAACTGTTTCTTTGATCGGTGATGAACTTTTTAAAGGAGTTTTTGAAAACTCTTCCTCGAATCATTGATGGTGAGTTCATTAATCTTATATGGATTATGGCGCCTAGGTTCTTCCACTATTATGACATCACTAGGTGAAAAATCAATGGGAGGAGGTTGAACATTGAAATTTATTCTTCATCGAAGTCACTGTTACCACTAACACTCATCCTCTTCCGACCATTTTGATTTCTTCTTCTTCCTTAGAAATATTGATTGGATCATTGAATTTTTTTGATGATTTGCCTTAGATCTCGATTAAGATATTTTCTTTTCCATTGGAGGCCAGAGAATAGGGTCGAAAAATAAATAAATAAATAAATAAATAAATAAATAAATAAATAAATAAATAAATAAATAACGTTTCTTGGATCTTTAGACATGTTTTCTTTTTCTTCATGGAGGAGTTGCTCTGGATGTTTTTTCATCGGATCGCTAGTGGCGGTTCTGCGGCTGGTGTTTGAAAATTAACTTCGTTAATTTTTTTAAGGGAGAGGGGATGTAACGAGTACTTTGTACTTCGTTGTGAATAGTTAGATAATTTGACTTGAGTACTTTCGGACTAACCCTCGTATAGCGTCAGACATCAAATATTTCGCAGCCAGCGAGCCATGCGCGAAAAGATGACGACTGAAATCGGAATCGAATTGCGCGAGAGAACGAGAATACTGGTCATTCTGGTTTCCGCTTCACTCCCGTTTGCAGGTGGCAGATCGACAAAACAAGACACTGGGTTGAGTGGTGAGATTTTGCGATAAATGGTGAGTTCGTTCCATTATTGTTTGCTCTTGTGGCTTTTATTGCTGGTATAGTCATATCTAGAAACTCAGTTTAAACCTGAGTTAAATAATACGTAGAATTTCCTTTGGTGGGTTCCACGTGAGGTACACAAAATGGCGCGGGAAAGTTGATCGATTGCTAAATCGTATTTATCGGAAACATCATTTATGCTGTGCTGATTAGACCTAGTTCAGAATTATTTCAGTGATATTATCGACCTTTCTTTCGCCGTATTTTCTTGCTTTCAGCGATAATTAAAGATTCGAATATAACCAAGGAGTCGTGGAGCACATCAGTGGAATCTGGGAAGTCTAGAATAAAATCCAGAATAAAATCACAGAGGTACGAGTCATGCACGATTCAAGGTGGATGCAGCACAGGAACCTTGGGGATCGAGCAGGTATGTGAGATTCTTTTCTTTACCTTTTTCTTATGACCGGTGATTGTGGATTTTTTTTCTTGTTGTGCATAAGTTGTTCCACAAGTTACCGTCATTGGAATACACATACCTGGCTGATTTCTAATGCATGAGTCGTGAATCTCTGATTTTTAATACAATATATATGTAATTACTTTTTTATCTTGATTTTGATTCCATTAATTACACAAGAGGAAATAATATAGAGCTCAACATTTTTAGCAACTTGCACCCGTCATTCCAGGGTTGGTTTTGTCGAAGCCATCTCAAATTAGCTTTAATCTATATCTTCCTTCGTAAATCTTTCTCTACATCTTTCCTATTGACCTTTTCTACCAACTTGTCTACTCTCTCTCTATCTTCTACCATATTCCTATTATACCGGGGTAGTACCAAAATATCGAGATTTCTTTTTGATTTAAATTACTGGGGGGTTTCTTGCCTAAAATAATTAGGGGGATATAAGTTAATATTGGGCTGAAAATAACAGACAATCTGCTAATACCAAATCTAGTTACAGGGGTTAATCAAAAGGTATTTCAAATTTTGCCTTCAGCATCAGTAAAATCCAAGGGGTTGATTAATGGAATAGTGATTCTATTTTGTTTTCTTTTATATATATTTCTTCTTTGGTATATATATATAAATATATATATATATATATATTTTTTTTTTATTCACGTTTAAGTAGCCTATTAGGGTTCTAAAAGGTGCCTTTTTACCCATTAAATAGTGTTTACACAAATGGCTTATACATCTGATTGTTTTCCATGCATTGGGAGTCTGGCTGTCTGAGAAGTGGGAACTGAAGCCTATCTCTGCCCATCAATAATTATCGAAAGGACAAGCTGAACTTCGATCGGCTACTACGCAGTCAAGCTCAAGGTTCTTCCAGAGACCCTACCCAGACATCTTCGTATCTCCAAACGAAGAACCTTACACTGGAAGCTTCGACACCAAAGTCTACAGCAGTAGCAGCAGACAGTTCCACTCTCGAGACTTGCCTTATACTCCAATACAGCTGGTAACATCCATCCTTAGCAAGCCACATTGTCTGTTAGGGTTACTTAAACAACTTTCAAACCTTTAGTTTTTTTGCATTTTTATATACTTGTACTGTTTTGATTGAGCTTTCATTTAATGTTCAGCTAAGATATATATATTTTCAATTCAATTGTACCAGTTCTCATTTTAAATTTGATAGTTGAGTAATCATTTTCACCTAATTGTTTTCATATAACTGCACGACAGTGCTGAGCTTGTAATTTCATTTGATCAGCTAAACTTGTTTGGTAGAAAGATTTGGAAGACTCAATATATTTGTGGAAAAAATTGATCACTCTCTCTTTTATTGTGTCACACTCTGAAGCTGAATCACATTACCTTTTCTTTCTCTCTATTGTAATGATCAAATGGTTTGTTTCCTGTTTTGTTTCCATTAAAATTCAAAACTAGGTGGCGCCCATATTCAGCTTCAGACCTATCACACCAAAAACCAATTACCAACCCCACGACCCAGCTCGAATAATAAAGTAACATCTAGTGTTACACTTAGCTATACTTACGAACACACAAAAAGTTTCCAATTGGGAGCACTTTCACGTACGATCCATTTCGTGTGATTTAACCTAGAAAATTCCCGAATCCACTTATGACATTCTTCTAGATTGTGTAAATCTCCATAAACTGTTATATTATCATTGTTAGTAACTTCATTCGTCTTATATTTGAAAGATTGGGGTAATTCCATATTGAAATAAGGTATTGAAATCAAACTCAACTAGGTATCCAACTCAATGATAGGATGCACGTGCTGCTTGCATAATAATGACTGACCATTGACCAAAAACAAAAACAAAAGCGCGAGCCCTATGCAGATGGCAAAGTGTACATCTATTTTAGGTATCATACGCAATTCGTACTGCCTATTTGGCGGCGAGATCTGTAGCAAATTGTACATCTATTTGGCGCCGGTATAGCAATGTGTACTGTTATTTGGCATCAACCAATCAGAAAGCGTAGATACAGGCCGTTTGCCAAATAGATGTACGTTTTGCTTATTTGCCACCGGGCCGGAGCTTCGCTTTGGTGACGTCACACTAGTAGGGACAAAATCAACGCAGTATAAATTGTCTCTCCCGTTTCATTGATTCACCTCGGGAAAACGGTCACAGTTGGCGAAAAATATCAAGAGGTCAAATATGTACAGAAAAGAATTTTCCAAAAGATGAATCAAATTTCACTGATTTACGATCATCAATTTCAGAAATATGGCATATCGAAATTGATTGACGCCATTCAGAATTGTCCTTTTTCAAACAGCTACCAAAATTCCAATATTCAATTCACAGAAATGATTCAAGCACGAGAAGATTTCGCATAGTATCTTAATTGACTGAGTTTTTTTTTAAATTCCCAAGGGCCAACAACAAACCGATATTTCCATTCAAGTAGGACGATGATTCAGGTGTTCATTACAGAATAGTTCAAGAAGTTCGGACGCCTCCCATGCTAATCCTGTCAACTATGGATATATGCTGTCACTGACTTTTTTGTAGGGAATTTGATTGCCTACAAATCGGTATAATACACATCCACTTTATCTCGAAGGGTTTTAGCAGCGTTTATCTCTAAAGATGATCAGGATGCACTTTGATGACGTTAGAAATCCTATCACTCGAGTGTGTATAATTTATTTTCTGCTGATGAGTGTAAATTTGAATGAAAACGTTAAATTCATGAAAAAAAATGTGATTTGAATATATTTGCGAAGTATCAAAATTAAAAAGAACAAAATATGTGGAGTTCATATGAACACAACCTAACAAAAATAATTGAAAAAATATGTATTTCAACAATGAGACATATAAAAATGAATATAACGAACTGAATAACATAATACCCAGATCAACAATATATGAGGGGATAAGGAAAAAATGAAAAAAAAACGTTGAATCCTCACACACAAACAAAACCGAACAAAATAAACTGTAAAAATTATCAACATAACAAAATAAAAAAAATTGATAGGTATCACAAAATGAAATACATTAATAACAAAAAATATATATACATCATCTTAATCACAAACTAAAAATTGAAATCTAAACAATATCTCATCCTGAAAATTTAGTGATTTTTCTTCTTCAATTTTTTTTTATTTTGCAATAATTGTTCAACAGAATATTTTAAATGGTTTTAGAGAATGTTTTGCTCAATAAATCAAAAGACCCACAACTGCAACATTGATTCTCGGAATAATTGAGAAGGGAATTGATTTTAATTTCTGCTAAATGCTCCAAAACTTTATGTTGTGACTCACATTGTAGAAATATTGTTTCGAATTCTTCAGACACCAATATCAGTTGGTCTGAACCATACGCCATTTAGAAATAAAATGAGTAATAAAAAGAATATCGCCCTTTACCAGTCCAAGGAATTACCGCGATATCGTAATACAACGAAATTTGGGTAGGTAGGTATAACGGCCCATTTTTTACGCGCTCTTTATATTTAATTCTTTTCGGACGACTCATTGTAGGTAACTCTACAATTTTTTCACTATTCAATTGATTCATTATCGTAGTTTGATATTTTTCCACCAAAAGTTGAGGAATTTGTTGGGGATCATTTCGTTTCGATTGAATGTGGTTCTAAAATTCATAGTAAATGAGCTATAGCCTATCAATTACGAATGCATCAGTACGGACTGATGTGAAATCTCAACCTACTAGTGTGACGTCAGCGTCGAGAGAGAGAGAGGGGATAGACTACGACCCGGTGAGATAGAGTAGGCCCTGATATGGCCTCATGTCGTGACTGGTTCACTTGTCAGAAGTGGTGAAAATCCCACGGTTTCGATACAAGAAAATCTCAGTAAGGATATGAATTCCATGAGTGATAAAGGTTTCCATTTTTTTCTATTCTTTGGAATTTTCTCTCCATGCTCCTAATAAATGAAAATATGAGTATTATCTCGATATACAAGGTGTTACATACGTATACGTTAACATATTCAAGTAACATATCTCTGAGAAAATTTTGAGAATAAAGGTCCATATGAACTTGTTTCCGGAAATTCATCATTTCGGAGGTACAGGGTGTTGAAATACAGGAAACAAATCATTTTTCAATGGACATTTCATAAGAAGAACTTGTTTATTTTGACTCGATCTAACATATATTCAGAAAATTGTAAATATTTCGAAAACGATCACCTCCAGCGTTTTTGAGGAAGTCCGCTTTTCTCTACTTGGAAAAGATGTGGAAATAGGGTTTTCATTGAAGAGTACGAAAAGTTCGAAAATGTAAGGAACAATTTGTGATAAATAATGACAGCATACGCAGTGCCGCAATAGTTGTTGTTTAAAAGCGAAAACAAAAATTCAATTTCATCAACCTGTATCTCCGAAATGGAGCATTTCTGGACACAAGTCTATATATACTTTGTTTACTCAAAACTGTCTCAGGAATACGTCACTTGAATATTCAAACGTACTTTTGTTACACCTTGTATACGTGTAGTAATGACAAATCAGATTAT